TATTTATTATTTATTAGAGGGCTTAATTCAAAAAATCATCTACTAACTTTCAGTTTAATTTCATTTTAGTCTAGAAAGTTTGTTTCGTTTCTAAATAATCTAGAAACTTTGAAGAATATTTTAAATTAGTCTACCGTACAAAGATGACGTTAGATTGCTCTTAGATTTGAGGAAAAAGCAGTCCTTTGAGTTTTAAAAAAGTGACACTTAAATCTTAATAAAATATGATGAATCAAAAAATAGTTTATAGAGATAGATTGTAATTCAAACAGAGAAATTCAGTAAGTTTAGAATAAGAAATTTCACAGGTAAATCTATTTTATAGGACATACTGTGTACAATCCGTCTTATAAAATTATTTAAATGTTCATAAAAAAATAATATAAAAATAGAATTAAGGGTATTTAAGTAATTTTACAAGGTGGACTGAATGCAATTTGCTCTGTAAAATAATTTTTTTGAAAAACACATTTAGCAAAATAAGAATAAAAACTATTTTTATTGTGAATATAAATTTAATGACTAAAAGATTAAAAGAAACATAGTTAGAGTACTAAATTTAAGAAGATTTCTGTTAAGATTTCTGTTCACTTTAACTGCCTAGATGAAATTGAAATAATTCAAAAATAATAGATGAAACTGAAATTAAACTGAAAGTTAATAGATGATTTTTTGAATTTAGCCTTTATTAGAGCAGATAGTTAAAAAAAGTGCAAACACCATTAATGAATAAATATAAAGGAAACTTTCATCAAATAATCTCAATATTTCAATACACTTTTATTGAAAAAAATTAAAATAATATATTTTAAATTAAAAACGAGGTCATTTTCATCGTTTTTTATGAAATATATTTAATGAAACAACAGAATTTTGTATTATTTTTTTTAACATTTTAAATGTTTTATTGACAAAAACATTTCTCATAAAATACTTAAAAATATTCTTATTTAGGCCTTTATAATTTTTTTAGGCGGAAAGATGTTTAAGAAGACAACTATTGATTCATTTTTCAAGAGAAAAAAGAGATGACAGCCACATACAATCTATTCTTAGAGCACCAAGTTCAAATTATCAAAACCTGAACTTATGGTAGAGAAAATGCGAAGTCAGAGTGAAGACAACTATTCACTTTGCATAACTATTTTCTTTTGTCTTTGTTAATCTTCTAAAATTATTATTACATTTTTCTTTTTATCATCAATCTTCAAAAATTAGTTCAGTTATTGATTTTGGTTATATTTATTTCATAACTAGTACTTTTAGCATAGACAATGATTATTACATACTCTAATTTAACATATTGCAATATATTTATTAAAAAATTATTATTTTTGATTTAAAATTAAAAATTAACAAACTAAAAATACAATTATGTACACATGATATAAGAATCAATTAAATTGATTATATATATATATATTATATTTTTAATAATTAAATCAGATAAATATAAAAAAAAATACCAAACTAAAATGTATATGAATCATTTTTCTTTTAATATTGCATCTCAATCATCATAATAAAATTCGTGACTCCAACCCTAAGTATGATATATTGGCTGTTTCCATTAAATTAAAATGACACATTATTTGACATGATATACAGCTACTCTTTTGATGTCATGTAACCATCATTGAACTCTATTACGAGATAACGTCAACTAATTAATTATATAAAAATTCTGGGAGTGAACTCGTCACAATTCCTTCTTAATGCTAGTCCGATTAGATATATATTCTTTTGTCCAAAAGGAGAACACAATAAAGAAGGTTCATGAGATCTTGCAAATCAAACTCATGCAATTTCCAATGGAAAACAGAGAGAACCACCTGAGATAATGTAAAAAATGATATTCTAATTAGAACACTTAAATGGAAGGCATATCATAGATTAATACAGAGGTTGGTAACGTAAAACAATCTTCTGTTGGTTGGTAACGTAAAACAATCTTATGTTGTTAATTTGGATAATTCTCATATATAAGTAGAAGATTGGTTGTTTTTGTTGTAAATTGCCATACATAACATATTCTAATATCTCCGAAAATGATTATAAGATAATTTTTCTATACAATTTTATATGTTAATAATTGACTCACTACAAAAAAAAAAAAAATCATATTTAGTAATTAAATTAGTGGTCTAAACATCTTTATTTTTTGTCATAAATTAAAATTAATGATAAAATTTAAACCTTTAGTAAAACTCTTATCACTAATGCCCCTAATAATGAATTTGACTATCACAGAAGAAAAATTTATAGTGACAAAAAATTAACATTATTGACAAGTTATTTATAACAATTTTATTTGTTATAATAAATATTTTTTGTTACAACAATTTTCATTGCAAAAGTTATAATTAAGTGGTAAAAAAATTGTGATAAATTTAAAAAATTGGTACAATCTGGACAAAAGTATGAAGAAGATTTTATTTTGAAAGGCCAAAAATTTTATTTTTAACTATAAGGGATATTCAAACCCATTTACATAAAACAGGTAACCTCTGACAAACAGGAAGGGAGCCAGGGGTGCAAGGGCACTCACCCCCTAGATTTTCCAAAAAAAAATTAAATAGGTCCTATACTTTTAAAAAAATCAAATAAACTCTTTTTGAAAAAAATAAAATTGTGTGTTTTAACTTTTATTCTTTTATAGATCTTATGATAAATTGCTAATCACTTGACAAGTAAAATAATTTAATAAAATATTTTTATTTATTTGATATATTTGTCATTGTAATATATGCATAATTAATGATTATTTGTATTAAGAAACAAAATAAAATTGATTTGAAATTAGTATTATCAATTCTTAAATGGCATGTTTGGGAACTTGAATTTGGTTAGAGTATATTTGAATTTGGAGTTCTAATTTAATTATATTATTTGTTTTTACTTAAATACAATGTATTTGAGTTTCGTTTAAATACATGTATTTGAAACCTTGTATTTCAAAGTTAAAAGTACATATATTTCAAATACATCCTCTAAATCATGAATTTTAATTCTAAATTCTTGTATTTCATCAAAATAATTGAAAGAGGATTTAATTTAACAAGAAATTCAATTTTAAATATGCTACATTTTAGTATATCCAAACAATGTATTTGAAATTCATTTTTTTTTAAATTAATTCAAACAATGTATTTTGAAATATATATATTTAAAATTTATGTATTTTAAATACATATATTTCAAATACACACATTAAATACAAATAAGCATTTCCAAACACAACCTAAAACTTTTAATTTTAGTTTTATTATCTGAATCATATTAAACAATATTTTGTAATAAAAGTTCTGTCTCATGTTAAGATTTAAATACACATAAATTTTAACAAGTTTTTTTATATTTAAAATTGTTAAAATTTTAATTTTTGTATATTTAAATCTTAATCTTATTTATAAATTACCAATCAAAAAATTCATTTTTAGCATATACATTTCAAATAGCACTTCGTCCCCTGAGATTATTTTCTGGCTCCGGCCCTGGACTCAAACACTGCCTTGCCAATCAATGGCATCTCATATGGTCCCTTAAGAGATTTTACGACAGATGGGATTTAGAATCCAATCCAAAAGGGTGAAGGGATGAAGAGGATGATTTACTATTACCAGCCGCATTACGTGATCGAGCGAATGACACCGGCGCCACAGCTCTCCAGTGATGAGAATCCGAATGCATGTTGCATCTCATAATATATGTATAAGGTAAAAAATACTGTCTTGGGTCCCTGCTGCCGGTGGTGTTAATTTTCGAGAAATCCCATGGGTGGTGCACGTCAATAGATGGGTTTATTAGTGTAGATTCTGAATTAAGTAATAATATGATATTTTGTATCAAAATTCTTTTTGTTATTTGTTTTGTAGTTTGGATTATATTAAACTGTAAAATTAAAATTGCTGAATTAAGAAAAAAGAGCCAAATATCAAGGGCCATTCTCAATTTAAGGATTACTATTTTACAATCCAATACAATATAACTCTAAAACAATACTTATTCATCAATAAATCTAACTCTTAATAATAATATAGTTTATATAATTTTTTAAATATTATTATATAATAATTTTTTAAAAAACTATTTTACCTTTTAAATTGTATCAAATTATAAAACAATAACTCTTAAATTAAGAAGGTCCTTGCTATTAAGTCCTTTTCTTCCGATTTAAAAACACTAATTTTATAGTTTAATATAGTAAAATAAAGAACCTAAAATTTTTTTATACAAAATGATCTTATTATTACACACAAGGTTGTCAAAATCAAGATTTTACCTAAAAT